TCCTTTTGACCACTTTAGGATGAAAGTGGTGGTTCTTTGTCTGATGCATCATCCCTGCAAGACCATGTTCTGCCCTAACAAAGTGTGTGAGCCATAGCATTGGCAGCCTGGTTTGGAAAAAGACTAAGCATATCTGTTGTTGAGTCTATCAAAACAGAATGCAGTTTATTCTTATGGGAATGAGCTGGTTAGTTTGTGGCCAGTAGCAGGAATAAGCAGTTGTTAGTATACCAATACTTTCACACCATAGCTGCTGTGGATTATCATCTCCTGTGTTGTGCAATTTTATGCTCATTTGTATTAGGTGAAAGTCAAACACAGAAACTGAGAGCAGAGAGCACATCTGCTGAATAGAAAGTTGCTATTTTTACATTTTCCAAACTAGAACTGCACTTTATAATATTAATGTCCCCTCTTCTCTCCCTGTCACATTTGGAAAGATAATAGAAAACTGTATTTCCAAAGAGTAAAGAGTGTAGAATGTGCTAGAGTTTCAGTCTCATTCAGTTGGATTGATTTTACCATAACTCTTTTCAAAAATCAGAAGCACTTGTAATAGCTGAGTGCATTGAAGCCTAATGGGTTTAATTTATGTGCAGCTGGGCTGTAACAATACCCTGTGAGCCATTACAGCTGTGCCTCTCAACTGAATGGCTTTGTACAAGCCCCTAGTTAGTGATTAAGCTCTGCATAGTAGCTTAACCTGGAGAAATTCACAGTGTTTTATGAACACCTTCTGTGCTAAATGGCAGCAACTCCTCTTTGGAGGCAAATCTATTTGCCCACAAAATGGGTTCATCAGAAGGCCTGTTAATATGCATAAAAAACATGCATGATGGAGTGTAGTTGCATCTGATAGACCACCATCGTGTGCCAATTGCCATTTCACTAGATTGTGGATGTTCTGCTTGTCAAATTAATTTTGGCTGTACTAAAAGAATGGGCTAATATGGGCTTGTCCCACAAGGTTTGATGATGATGCCCTGACCCAAATAGTTTTTCCTTTAAAGGAAAACATTTCAACAAATGAAGGACTTACAAAGGGAAGAGGGCAATTTGTATGGCCTCATTTGGGCTGGCTTTGCCTGGTGGAGGTCGTAGAAGATTCCAGTGGTAAAAATAAAGACATTTAGAATAGATTTGTTCTAGAGAAGTCAGGTGGCTTTGCAAAGGTTTCATATTTTAAGGTGGCATGTCAGACTTTCTCCTCTGTAATCTTTGTGGTCCCTCCTACCTACCAACGGAAGTACAGTTTTATTGCCTGTACCTTCACTGAATCTGTGGCTGGAGATGAAGTAGGTGTTGTTGGCAGCTTATGAGCAGATGTGACATGACTCTTTTGAAGTCTTACATAGTTTAGCATATTTACATGGATGCGTCCCCACTGGTACAATGTTGCTTAGTATAAGAACAGGCTGTATGGGACCCTACAAAAACCACGAATTTATGAGACGAAAAGTAAAAAGCTTAGAAGAGCAGTCATCTATTTGTTTTTGGGAAGTCATGTAATATCATACAAGACTATGGAGAGTTTGGCATGGCAAGATATGTACATGACCTGGAAAAAAGCTTGGAGAAGAGAAATACGTTTTGGAGAAGTATTAAGAATCCTTCCATCTTATTTTTGTTACAGTTACAAGTTGGAGGCTCTCCAGTCTTCAAATGTAATTGGGTAGTGATTAAGAATGAGACATAGTTTGTTAAAATGATATCAGAAGTATATGTCAAGTATTGCCGGAACTTGTTCTCACTTCTTTCTATTATACCTGGTTGCTGTGGTGGAGCCTACAGTTTGTCATTCCTTCATCTGTCTGATGCTAGGTATTGTATGAGATGATCCCTTAATGTGGCCTAAAGAATATGCTAAGAAAATGGGCCGATGGGCTAAAAAAATCCCTTAATGTGGCCTAAAGAATATGCTAAGAAAATGGGCCGATGGGCTAAAAAAATCCCTTAATGTGGCCTAAAGAATATGCTAAGAAAATGGGCCGATGTAAATATATGTCTTAGAAACAGCAGAATATATTTGTTCCGATTGCCTGTGATTATTTCCAACTTCTTGTCTTCCAGCTTCAACGTGGTGAATAAACTTTTTTCCGCTTCTTGTTTTCCCTAATGTCAGAAAACCCGAGCAAAGCTTTTCTTATTTTCCTGTTTTCTTGTCAAGGCAGCATAACCTTGTCAGGTCCCCAGGGAGGTTGCCCTTAACATACTTGCAGGACTTGGGTTTGAGGAAGGGAAGCACTACAGGGCAGAGATCCTGTGGCTCTTCAGCCACATTTGTTTTGCATGCAGTTCAAATGTGCCTTCCATGCTAGGTAAAACATGGGCGGAGCAGCAGGGCTGTGGATGGCTGTGAGAGAAGGCAAGCTAAGCAGGGGTGCATGAGTCCATGTTGCTGTCCCTGCAGAGCCCAGCAGCCTTCCCAGCTCAAACTTACAGAAGAGCGATGTAGCTCTTGGGGAAAAATATTCCTGTCTGCCTGTGGAATGCCTTCTCTTCTCCACTCTTTAAGGCTTATGGGACATGTGTCTTGGGGTATTTGGCTCTCTGAGGACTTTGGTATATGATTCGTAAGTTTAAAGGCGCTGGATACTCTCAATGGCACGGACTAGCATGATGTTAATGCATATCTTCTCCTGATCGATTACAGTGTTTAGAGAAAGCTTGGTTTTTTCAGTACTAAAATGGGGATGAAATTATCTTTTTATAGATTTAAAAAAAGCAGGAAGGGAACTTTCGTTGCAGTTTTTGTAACATTACATGTAAAAATGTACAAAGATGTTAAGTACTCATAGGTCACTTCAGTATGGGATAAAAACCTAACTGATTTCATAGATAATTAGAGAATTATGTCATTGTTTAAGGAGCTTGAATGATAAACAGATCACACAGCCTTTGTTAGGACTAGAAACTAATTAAAAGAATGATCAGTCTCTGAGAGGCTTTAGAGTAATGGAATGATACTTATTCTGAAACTTTGCAGTATCACTTAGGAGTTCTCAAATATGGATAACATTACTTGGATTTACTTTACACTATACAACTTAGATGTGACTCAAAATTTAGCTGAAGTGTGCTCTCAGGTGGTTAGAGTAAATAAGTTTATTTACTATTAACAGTATTTTTAAAGAAGCTTTACAAAACCCAAAAGTGTTTGACAGACTACTGTAGGTTCCCTCCAAAAATTGTAACCGGTTAGAAATACAGTTCTCAGCCATTTAGAGGCCCAAAGAGAATAGCTTCATGCTGGTATATCACAGCTAGATAGAATATTCTTCATGGCAGCCTCAATACATGAGCAACAAGAGTTTGTTTATCTGTTTTATAATACTTTAACATTTTATAAACATTGTCCTTTTAAGAGGAAATTAGTCTTCCCCACAATCAAAGTGGAATTATTAAATTAGGAGGTTGGCCATAACTTAAATCAGGATAGACTTATGTGGTGCTTACTGTAACATGACCATGGGAAGACCTTGGAATATGACTTTCCTATCATTGCTCATGGAGCTGGGGGATATTTCATCTAACCACAAGCCACATCCATCCCTGTTAACTTAATGAGAGAATACACATGTAAGGGAACAAGCGGAAATGGCTCTCCCTTGGGACCTTGCATTGTTAAATTGTCCGTAAGTGTTTTTAGTACATCTGTTTATGGCTCATTCTCTGTTTCAAGTTTTAAAAAAAGTCACTAAAATTCCTAATAAGGAAAGTCTTGGTTGGAGGAAGGGGTAAATACCAATTTTCACGATTTGTACTGCTTAATATAAAAAAATCAGTCATTAATTTCATGATTCACACTTAATTGCAAGAGATGAAAATAACTTCCAAACATGACCTAAAATGTCCTAGAAGATAGTCTCAGGAATTCTGTTACAGTACTGTATTACTGAGCTGAAAAATATTAATGACAGTGAAACTTAACACTACTCCATTGTTTTGACTTTTTCTCTTCTTATCTGAGTGGCAAAGTAAAAGCCTCTAAGTGTGCAATACTATTTTCAAAGTGTGCAGGAAGAACCAGGGTCTCAGTGTATTTGTCCTACCACTGTGTTTTGGGCCTCCAGCAGTCTGTGCTCTTTTGTGATGTGTCCCCGACAGTGTTTATGAGGTATTTGGAGTGATTTATGAGTGTTGCTCAGGTCCTCTGGTAGCCTGTATGTGTACAGGACACTTACTAATGTGCTGAAATTTAGATTGTGAGCTCTCATTATTGCTGTATTTTCAAACTTTCAGAAGAGAACCTGGTGAAGGATAGAGGAGTTACATATCTTGGTGATAAGGGAATCGCAGAAAGGAAGCAACTGCAGAGATATTCAAGAGCATCCCAGGAGTTACAATGGCAAACTTAACTGCTATGAGTGTTTTATTTTGAAGTAAAAATTGTGATGAGGGAACTTGGCTGAATTCCAGTCATATAGTAATAGGTGCAAGCGTTTAAACTGTTGTGAAATTACTTTAATCTTTGACTTTGTTTTCCATTTCTGAAGTGCTAATGTACAGTGAAGTACAACAACAATAAGAATTTACAGGCAAAATCAGCGGCAGCTAGTACCCTGGAGAGGTACAAACAACACTGCATTGCTCACTTCCACTCTCAGGCATCCTTACGTGCGGCTAGCACACATGTACACACACGCATTCATACACATTTCCCCTGCCCACCCCCGTATTTATACATTCTTTTTATATACATATGTGTTTGGCTGTTCCACAGCACTTCCACAACAGCTAAATAATTGGATGTGCACTTCCCTGGGTTTATGCGGCACCTTACTGCATTCTGTTCTTGCTTCAGTAGTCTCGCTGGCAATTGACTGGGAATATGGTTAGTCCCTGCACTTTGCCACTCTGGTGACAAATCTGCCTGTTCCTTACTGGCTTCCTTCTAGTGCTATACTGAGAAACTGTGCAAATGTCCGTTTTTTTACCTGTGCTAAACGTCAAACAGGTTAGTGTACAAAGAGAACAGACTGTTTAGAATAACAGACCATTTAGAATCTGTTCATTCCAGCGTCGTTTTCTCTACAGTTGGTTTTGCCATTCAGCGTGTCACAGATGGCCTCGTGGTCCCCATTGCTGGAAGCTTGGCTGCCAGCAGGAACGTGTCCATTGCGCTCTGTTAAGATATTGAAGGTAAAGAACTGGCATGGGTCCTTTTGTCTGCTGCCTTCCTGTAAGGGACTCAGGAAAGAGCTGGAGTTTTTCCATTCCTGGAATGTACACATCTCCATATGTTGGTGAGTGATTTTGCTCAGGTAGCCAGGGCTGGGAGATGCTGAAGATAATGTCCTCTGACTGCCACTTAGGAAACTCCCGCTGTCTTCCAGAGAGTCCTTCCTAGGGTGTTCAAAGGAGCACCGATTCCAGTTTCTGTAGCTGTAGGCCCACCACCCCAACTGCTTTCGACGGTGGCACTGGCATTTTAGGATCTGTATAAAAGCCCTCTTGAACTCTTTGCTTGAGCAAGGGTAGATGATTGGATTCAAGCAGCTGTTAAAGTAGCCAAGCCAAAAAATTACCTTGAAGATCATTTCAGGGGGCTTCAGAGCCGAAAACAGAGATCCTGTCCAGAAGAAACAAGCAGAGACAATATCTGAGATGATTGGTTTACCTGCCTTTAGGAAGGGTAAATGTCCTGTCAGATCACTGTTAGAATCTGTTTATTAAAAATTCTTAATGCGTCTTACTTTCATTTTTGGTCTTTTGGTAATAAAATGTTATTTTTAATATTTTTAAAGCTAATAAGGAGATGCTTTCCACCATCTGAAAGCTAAAGGAGTACATAATTAATGTAGAATTAAAGAATAAGAAGCAGTCCTTGTGCTTATATGTACACATCTGTTGCACTAACATCTGTTGATCCCAATAAAAGATCAAACCTCCTTTGTCCCAGCTGCTGCACAATGCACACATGGAATAAGTTTGTGCCTTATTCAAAGGGCTTTCAAATGTAATTTTTGAAGAAAAAGATCTAACTGTTCACAGGCTTCTCGGAAGAAGTGTGCTCAGACATACCTTAAAACTTCCAATACATCCTGTGGCAGCTCCTAAACATCATCCCATTTATCTAGATTATTATGATAGTACAAACCTCTTGAAACCTGAAGTTAATTGTGGTACTTCCCATATCTCAGGCATTCATAAAAATAGTGTAACCCAAACAAAGAATTTATTGTACGAATACTTCCTCTTCTGTTCACAATGAAATAATTTCCCTGAAGAGGCTGCCCAAATGAAAAACTCATACTGGCAAATCCATTTAATGTACTTTTAGTATTAAAAACATGCAATTGATCAGCTAAATTTAGCAAATGGCGCTTTATAAAAGAATGTATGATATTTTTGAAGAAAACAGGCTTTCAGCAGTTTTCCAGCTGGGAAAACACCTTGTGTCTGGCTAAAGTAATCAGAGAGCAGGGGTTCTTATGTCAAGAACTGAAGTTAGATTTGAAGAATTTTTCAAATGGAAGGTGACACTCAAGCCTGAATGTCACATCTGTGAGAAGAGCGACCTTTTACACTGGAGTGGTTTCAGATTCCCTGGGCTGTGAAAGCAGCTGAGTCAGTTGTGACTGTCAGGATGCCTTAGTGGGGAGGGATATGATTCTAGGCATATTTCCCATGTCATAGCAATGTAGAGGCCATGGCTTGGGCCACAAAACTATGCAAAAACACTTCCTAGCTTCTTGAGTAAATAGCTCTTAAGCTCTTACAAGCCACAGCAGATGCTGCTGTTTATCTAGGTGACACTGCTGGCCTGATGCTGACTATAAGGCATCTGAGTTTCCTCAGCTCACAAGAAAACCAAAGGGATGTAAGCATGTGCCATTCTTCACACATGCACTGCTCTCCTCGGTGTGTCACCTAGTCCCTGAGCTGGCTCAGAAGAGAAAATAAGATGCTGAGATGGCATCAGCTATCTGGAGAGACTCTTCCTCCCCCTCACTTGGGCAGTAGTAGTCAGGAAGGATCCTGTGAATCCAGAGTAATAGATTTTTTCCCTGGCAATATTTTGGGATGGTGCCAACTAGCACTAGATCTAGCTATTGCCTCAGAGCTAAGCAACATGCTAGCCCTTAAGGTTAAAATAGAGGTTTTAAATTACAAGGTTCATAGTATTTCTTTCATGACTCCTGCACTTTACTGCCTTTTATTCCATGTGCAAGACTCTTCTAAGTTGAACCCATGTCCCTTATTGCTTTGTTGCTGCTAATGACTTGCAGGGTTTGACAAATGCCTCTTTGGTCCATCTGATGGAGATCCTACATCAGTCCTGATTGATACTGCAGAAAGTGCAGAGTACAACATGTCTAACATCAGACAAATGATGAATTGTATTTGTTAAACTTCCATCAGATAACTCAAGCCAATGCAAGCACTTAAACTGTGTCTTTTTAGTGTTACATACTCTTTGATGAAAGATTCAGTGGCAATTCACATGATTCTATGGAATAAGCTGTTAAATGGGTGTCAGATTCTTACAAAGCTTTAGGAAAAGTTGATCTAAGTTTATAACTGCAGCCAAGATGAGGAATATGCTCCAAAACTTCCCACATGCGCAGTTGCAAACCTTTTCAGGATTCATTTTGTAAATAATCATTGCTAATATTTTCCCTTCAGTTTAGGTAAAGAGAAGCTTTATGACTTTACAAAACAAGTACAAAGCACTATTATGTACAATAAGGAACATTTTGGAGCTCATACTTATAAATTTCTTAAATTGTTTTCTGGAACTCCTTTAAAATAGAAATGATTTTTAGCTCTTAAAGCTGAGCAAAGCTCGTGAAGTGGCTAAAGAGACAGCAACATTCACACATTTTTTTCTTATGTGTGAATGTTGAATGAGTAGTGGTGAGTTTTTCCAGATCAGTTGATTTGCCTTTCTCTCCTGCTGTAACAATTGAAAATCTACAGGACATTCCTCTACCAGATTTAAATATTTTTAGGGAGGTTAAATGGACAGAGTAAATGGTGTGGTACAGTTTTCAATAAAATTAAAAAAAGAAGTAAGGAAGCTTACTTATAAATTTTGTGAAATTCTCCAAGGACAAATAAAATGAGCTAAGCTGTAGAGAAGAAAACTGGGAACCAATGCAGAGAAATGACTTGTGCTTGTATAATCTATTTTGCACATAAACTCAGTATGATGACTATATACAGTAAAGGCTAAGAGACCAAACAGGGAAAAAGCTAAAAAGCTGAGTGATGAAAAATGGCTAATCTTTGTAAACTGCTTCAAGTAATAAGTATTCCTTAAGAAATAAATGTAAGGAGCTTATGCGTATCTTTTATGATAATTTTTCAAATGCCATTTGAAAGAAAATGACAGCAGGCCTTTTTCAGCAGCTGCAGCAAGCATTTGCAAAGCTCTTTTATATTAAAGGGTGGCAACACAAAAGAGCAGAGAATTTCCTCATAGCAACCCTGACTGATGGAGGCACCTTGTGTTCAAGTCTGATTCTAGAAAAAAGACTGAGCCCCAATCAGTCATTTAAAAGCTATCAGGACCCTCACTGACTCATTAACAGAAAATCTGGACATAGATCAGTTTGGAAAGCTATGTGGTGGTGTGATTTAAAAATAAAGATCAGTGTTTAGCTACAATAGTAGAAAGGTTTTGAAACTATGAAATTCAGGAATAAGTGTCAAGGAGTTAATGAAAACACTGTTCATTAAACACTACTTCATTCTCCACTTTTTCCTGCTTCTGCAAACAGCACAATGCAAGTGTTGCTTAACTCTTAAATTATACACAAACTAGTAGATTAAGTTTTCACAAGAAAGTGAGGAAGTATGCTTTTCTGAACAAATAATATAAATTTGGTAAATAAGCCATTAATTTATAGACTAGTCTGTTAATTGCTTTTATTTCAGTCTGATGTATTAAAACTGGATAGAATTCTTCCTAATATATATTTACATATGCATATATGTGCAGCTGCTCTGAATCATAGAATCATAGAATAACAGAATCATTAAGGTTGGAAAAGACCTTTAAGATCGTCAAGTCCAACTGTTAACCCGACACCACCATGCCCACTAAACCATGTCCCAAAGTGCCACATCTACACGTATTTTGAACACTTGCAGAGATGGTGACTCCGCCACCTCCCTGGGCAGCCTGTTCCAATGTTTGACCACTCTGTCAGTAAAAAAATTTTTTCCTAATACCCAATCTAAACCTCCCCTGGCGCAACTTGAGGCCATTTCCTCTTGTTCTATTGCTAGTTACTAGGGAGAAGAGACCAACACCCATCTCACCACAACCCCCTTTCAGGTAGTTGTAGAGAGCGATGAGGTCTCCCCTCAGCCTCCTCCAGACTGAACAACCCCAGTTCCCTCAGCCGCTCCCCATAAGACTTGTGCTCCAGACCCCTCACCAGCTTCGTTGCCCTTCTCTGGACACGCTCCAGCACCTCAATGTCCTTCTTGTAGTGAGGGGCCCAGAACTGAGCACAGTATTTGAGGTGCGGCCTCACCAGTGCCAAGTACAGGGGCACGATCACTTCCCTACTCCTGCTGGCCACACTATTTCTGATACAGCCCAGGATGCTGTTGGGCTTCCTGGCCAGGACATGGATTTAATCTATGAATATTGTCTATGGTATAATGTGCTGTTACTTCCTAGTTTTTTTCAAAAATCATGTGGTAGATGATTATTCCAAGAACACCCTAGCAACAAGAGAGGTCACTGCAGTCCCCATGAGAATAAGTTCGTATACAGGGTACGACTCATCTGCTCTAAGATAGCACTTTTCATCAGTCAGTCATCCTAACTTGGTGCCATCCTCCTGATTTTACCAGTGGGCAATCTGAGCTGGAGGAAGGTAAAAGCTATCAGCTGAAGGTTATGTGCTAAATAATTTTAAACTCTTAATATTTTTTAGTCTAAAATTAACCACATTCGCTTTTGCTGTCTGCCTTCTGTTTAATATCTCTGCTTTTCCTTTTTCCATCCATGCATGTTCACTTTCCAGTAACTTACTGCCTTTTTTCCTCTTAATTCTTAAATATTTATTTCTACTCTCCTTATGACTGTCTTAGTTTGTAACTGCAACTGCTAATCTCTTGTCTAATCAATTTATGTTGTGATAATTGATTTTCTATTAATTAAACATAAATTTTTAGTAAGTTGTGTATTTGATATCAATTAGGTATCCAAATTACTCATAGGGTCATCAGTTCTGTTCAGAATCAAGCATTTGATACTTAGATTAGATAATACTTGAGCAGCACTGTGAATTTCCTGGATTTAAGGAGGGCACTATGGATGAGTTTTGGGTTGTCAGGTCCTATGTTTTCTGCCTGTTACAAAAAATCACATTTCAAAGTCTTCTAAAACCAGTTTTTCTTAGATGAGAGCCAACCTAGGATGAGTGTATGTTCCTGTTTAGAATACAACATTTGTTTTTATTGAAACAAAATGGTCTGGAGTTGATTAAGTGCTTTGCTCTGTGTCAGTTGATATTGCAGTAATAGCAAACTAGCTACAACAAAATATGTTGTGAAACAATAATGGGGTAGAAGGAGAGCTTCACTGCATAGGTTTTTGTCATTGTCTTA